CAACACTACAATCATTATTCTTTCTCTGACCTCTGCACTTCCTCCAATGCTTAACCCTATAATCCACACATTTATGACAAAGGAGTTTATGGCATGTGTGAAAAAGCTTATCAGAAAAAGAACCGTTTTCATCTAGAATACCAACTGTGTTCCAGTTATAGTATGGAATTCATCTCATCTGTACATTTTTAATAACTATCATTAAAGTACACAGTATATTACAGAATGTTATTACTAAATGTGAAACAGTGTTTGTTTTGTGTTACTTAAAGCATAAATTGTAAGTGCATCTTTGATCGTGTGCCAATCTGATTTTCTGAATATAAAAGTTCTTCCCCTATTCATTTGTATTGTACTGTTTAGACACACTGTACTTATTCATTAAAACTGTTTAGGAAGGCTGGTCTATAAAGACAAGGTTTTACTCCATGAATCGTGGTGCCAAGCAATACTGACAAATACACTGAAATCATTACTTTAATATTCTGTTAATTATCTAAAAACAGTTCTTTATTACAGGTAACACAACATTCCAGACAACAGGCAACTCCTCTGCAAATGAGACCTTTGTTCGTCCTGCAACATTTTTCATCAATGGCTTTTCTAATATGCCACATGCAAAATACTACTATGTGTTCTTGTGTTTTGTGTATGCTGTGACTGTTTTAGGGAATTCATTTATTATGTGTATCATTTATTTTGCCCGCAGACTTCACACAGCCAAATACATTGCTGTTTTTCATCTGGCCCTTTCTGATCTGTGTGGAAGCTCGGCTTTGATTCCAAAACTCATAGAAATGTTTTTATTTGAGCGCCAGGAGATTTCATATGAAGAGTGCTTGATGAATATGTTTTTTGTCTTTAATTTCATGAATGTGCAGTCTTTGACACTACTTGCCTTGGCTTATGACAGACTGGTTGCTATTTGTTTTCCTCTAAAGTACCATGCAGTTATTACTAAAACATCCATGTCACTCATCATAGGCAGTATGTGGATTTTTTCTGTGTCTTTTTTTTCTGTACTTGTGGGTTTAGTCAACAGACTCTCTTTTTGTAGAACTAATGTGGTAAATAGTTATTTCTGTGATCACGGACCTGTTATAAGCCTTTCCTGTAATGGTAATTCCATAAATTATCTCTTGGCATATATTTGTTTTGGTCTTCTGATTTGTATGCCAGTGATACTGGTAACCCTCACATATTGTTGCATTGCTCTGGCTTTGCTTAAGATTGCTCATGGTGCTGATCGCATCAAAGCCATGAAAACCTGCACCTCACATCTCGTGTTAGTGGCAATTTTTTATCTCCCAATTTTAAGTGTAAATGTTAAATCCATGTCAACGTCTATTGATCTAAACTCCCGGATAATTAACAATTCCTTGACACAAATAATACCACCTATGCTGAATCCCATCATATACACTCTAAAGACAGAGGAGGTCATGCAATCCATAAAAGAAATGTACAAACGACGCAAGGTGAACACTATTTCGGAACGAAATGTGAAACAGAGAAAATAAATAGGTCCTTGTTGCATTATTATTATTATTATCATTATTATTATTAATGATTGTATGCCAGAAACCTGATACTGTTTCTTACATATAAATATTGGACTAACTATATTATTTAACTAAAATCATTTATCAAATCATCATTTAACAAATGTTCAGGATTGGCTGGTTTGATGTTTAGATATTATAAAATAATTGTACAAATTTATCATGTGTGATTAGAATTTAACGTCACAGTGCTCAAATAAAAATGTTTGATCAGAATTTGTGTGGCTCCTTTGTTGTAACTTCCAGTGACATCACCAAGGAAATTTCACTCCAAAATCTGAAGTTGGATTTGTAATTTAGACCGCTGCATCACAGACATTTGTTAGCAAAAACAATAAAGAAATGAAATCATAAGACATTATATTCAAGGGTAAATAATAACTTTATTTTCTATAGTGCCTTTAAAGGAGCTTTTCAAAGTGCTTTACAAGGTAAAAAATACAAATATGTTTTCAAATATGTTTTAAAAATTCTAAGAGACGGTGCTTCCCAAATTTCAACTGGAAGTTGGCTCCACAACCTGGGAGAAGATATAGAAAATTATCTGTCACCCATTGAACATACCAGTGTTTGATGGACATCCAACAGACCATGCTGAGAAGAGTGAAGACTTTGTTCAGGAATACATGGTGTTAAAAGCTGAGGTAAATATTCCAGAGTCAGTCCATGAAGTGCTTTGTATGTGAGCATAATAACTTTAAAATCAACTCTGATTTAACTGGTGCCCAGTGCAATGATTTCAAAATGGGAGTAATATGATCTCTTGTATTGGTCTAAGTTAACATTCTAGCTTCAGAATTTTGAACATACTGTGGCTTATTTAGAGTATGCTTTCAAAATCCCAGTAAGAACAGCATTACATTAATCAACACGAGAAGAAACTAATATTTTACTTAACTTTTCTACAACTAAAAGCATTAGACACAATTTTGCAATATCTCCAAGATAAAAAAGAAGTCTTTACAACATTTTGTACATGAGGGTCAACTGTCAATGAAGAATTAGAGATCAATTCTAGATTCCTTAAATCTTTTGAAACTCAAGTACTGAACCATCAATGATTAGAGGTGTTTGGCCAGCTTTATAGAGCTGATGAGGAGAACTAATAAGCATGAGTTTTATCACCGTTTAAACAAAGACAATTATAAGCCAAAGTTATTGTTTACAATGAATGTGTGTCATCGGCATAAAATAGATTCTTAATAATAAATAAAGACTATGAAGTAAAAGGGTCCTAAAATTGAGCCATGAGGGATGCCAGTAGAAACTGGTCCAATATCAGACCATGTACTCCCCTAAAAAGCAACAAACTGTCTGCATCCAGTCAAATAAGATCTAAACCAAATCTATGTTACACTAGCATTATGCTAGCTTAACAATCACACAGTGAAATTGATTGTTTACAACTTTACAAATGCCTTCAATTAAATAACAGATCACAAAGTAGATGAAAGTAGTAGGTTTACTTTATCCAAAAATTAATATTGTGTCCATGGGCGTAGGTTTGGTCTCAGCTTTGGTGGGGACATCCCATCTGACCCATTTGAAAGCATGGTCAGTCACTCACTACTACTGCTAGTTATTTGTGTGGCTAGTTATTTTTGCCTACTTACACTCTGCTTTATGAAAAAGCTTCGTATGTCCCCTTTCTTCTTCTTGGGTGACATAGCTGATCTACAAAGTACAAAAAGGGGCAAAAAACGGAATATTAAAATGTTTTACCCTGGCCTTTGTATATGGCATGCAGAGAGACAGACAGCCCTGGTAACTTACCGTCGGCGTCGTCACGCGCGCACACACACACACACACACAAACACACACACGCACACACCACCCGCTCGCTGCCAGTGAGTGCAAGCACAAAAAGTAGTCCCGGCCCGTGCGTGTAGCCTGCCTGTCAGATACCCCGCCGCCAATCAAATTACGGCGTATCTTGTACTGTCGTCGTCCTGGCCGTTGGAATCGATTCAAATAGCAGCGCAAATATCAAAATAGCAGTTCAAAGGAGCTTGCTAAATATTGGTGGGGACAAATTTGTCATCTCAAAATATTGATTGGGACTAGTACCTAGCGTCCCCCCCTAAACCTACGCCCTTGATTGTGTCCCATTTTACTCACCATAATGTTAAAAATGTTCTTCAATTGCACATTAAATTCAAGATTGTGTGCATAAGAGAAATAATTTAAACACTGAAGAAAGACCTCACGCTAGATTTTGTGTGGCAAAACTATGTTTAATAATAAATTACTATAGAAATGACTTTACAATGAATTTAAATGCACACTTGACCTGACTGACTAGACTCCTTCTGTACTCTATCCACCTAAATACCCTCAAAATTGTGCCATCAGACTAAACTCAAATTACTGTCATTCCTTAGTCACAGATATAAATAATGCATGAACCCCATGCATAAACAGTTTTCAAATGTTGAGTCAAACTATAAGATGCAGAAGTGGTTCTGTTAATGTAATACTCACGCTCACATTTTATGCTTTGCTATCCTGACATTGGAAGAAATCAGTCAGTCAGTTAAAAATATGAGGGATGATATACCTCTTCATATCTAAACAGCCAGAGTAAGAGTACTCACACACAGTCCAGTGGCCTATGTAACAATTAATTGTAATTGCTGATTTTATTGTGATTTATTTATTTACACCTATCAATGGCTTCTGGTATAATTTTGGATCTCATTAACTTAAAAATAATTGATCATTTAAGGACATAACCTACTTCTAGAAAAGAGTAAAGCAGAAGTATATGCTCTAGTAAAGCTCAGACACAACATTGCGGAAGCTTGTTTCCGCCACGTTGCAAATTTTGCAACACAAATCTTTTTCACAAAGACTTTTTTCTCTCACAATTGTGAGTTTAGTGTACAATTCTTTTTTCTTACAATTCCAAGTTTAGGTATAAACTCAGAACTGTGAGATATAAACTCACAATTACCTTTTTTTTTTCAATCTCAACTAGCAGCACATATTGTAATACCAGACAAATCTACAACTAATCTTACTAATGTGCTGTGCTGTTGTATTCCCTCCAAAATGATGTCACCTCCTGCAGGATGATGTCATTAGGAAACTTTTTTGTTTGTTAAAGAGAAACCACAAAAGATAAACAATAACAGAAAGATGCACAAAAAAACCCTAAGACCGATTCCATTCAAACATATTTTGAAGGTGAATAAAAGAAACACCAGGAATGTTTCTTTAATACAATTGTCCAGTTTGTAAGTTAAATGTAGCACCTGAGCCCATTGCAAATTGGCCACACCTGCTCAAACCAAAGTATTAAAAAAAATGTGGAGTTTTGGTCATTGTGTAATAAATATGATATGTAGCCTACATTAAAATGTACTGGAAAAAGTACACCTTTCATGAAGTAGGCCTATTTCTGTCTGTGCATTCTTGACGGAAGTTCTTGACACGCATTTTGTTAAGAAAACGAGATGGATATTTTATTGTGTAACTGTCTCAGAGGCCGTTGCATCAGGCAGATTGTGTAGCTGACGTCCTTTGCTTCAGGAGCTGCTCTTTTCGAGTGTTCTGGTAGGTGGTCATGCACTCCTTAAACTTCTGAACCTCAGTCTGACACTTCCTCCAGTCCTGATGCTCAGCCATACAGTCCTGCAGAGCGAAGTGCAGCTCAGCACAGCCTGTCCTGGAGATCATCCCATCCACTGGATCATCCTCATCCTCATTCCTGCTCCGGTTGTGAGGGGATGGGGAAGGAGCCGATGCCATACTGTCAGAAAAAAATATAATTATAAAGATGTGTGTGTTATTATATAGATCGAAGAAAATGTCAGTATCGATATGAGTATTCGTTTTTCTTTCACGCTCGAGTGTATAAAAACTCTTAAAGGTGGAATATTTAAATAAACTTGCCTTTTCAGTTTGTAATGATATTCAGAGTTTACTTCAAGAAGGTTTCATAACTTGTCTAGCCGGCCACATTTCATATCACGAACAGGAAATGTGTTACATTTTTAAGAGTCCGTGTCTATTCATCGACGTAAGTAGTACATGTAATTACAATTGTTGTCCACTAGATGTCAATGTTATGTCAGACAATAGCAATGGGCTGAAGCGTTTGTTCACGAAATCAAGTCAAAATAGCTTTTCTACACATTTCATGCAACACATTTATTGTTGACTTAAAGGGATACTTCACCCAAAAATGAAAATTCTGTTTACTCACCCTCAAGTTGTTCCAAACCTGTATGAAGTTCTTCTGCTGAACATAAAAGAAGATATTTTGAAGAATATGGGTAAACAGTTGATGGACCCCATTGACTTCCATAGTATGGGGGGAAAATATATTTTATATCTTATTTGGTCAATATCTTCTTTTGTGTTCAACAGAAGAAAGAAATTCATACAGGTTTGGAACAACTTTAGGGTATGTAAATGATGTCAGAATTTTCATTTTTGGGTGAACTGAATCCCTTTAACTAGCATGTGTTATAGGTTAACTTTCTGAACACATGCTGGTCAGTGAGCCAACAGTTTTGACTTAGTTTGAAGTAGCCTAGTTAAACATGGCACCAGCTTTGCACTGAAGAAGACCAAGAAGCTTTTGATTTTCATCAGAGACATACCAACATACAGGGTAAAGAAAGTTTTAAACCGAGCAGCAGTTAAAAGAAAGATTTATGTTAAAAATAAATATAAATATAGAATAAAGCTCCAGAGGAATTGAATAACATGGACAATCAAAAGCCACAGTTTTAATCAGATCAACATTGCACTCACATTATTGGCAGCTTTTTCGCAGGTGTAAACATTTTGAGAATATAAAACATTGTTATCACCACTTATAATCTTTTTGTCCATCCATTCTAAAATTATTTTTGAACTTCAAGAATTTGCATTATTTAAAGGATTTTTGAATGCAAAGCGAAAACCAAAACTGGCTGCGTAGTGCGTACAATATAGAAATCTAGCACAATGAGAGAAAACATGATGTGCTCTCTTTGACTAATGGTTAATCAAGCAAATTCATTTTTATTTTTTATTTTTCATTACATGCAGAGCAAATGTAGAATTGGGAGATTTAAATAAAAAACAATGCATTTTAAACCACAAAATAATACAATGAACCATGACAGAAAGCCTCCAAATTAAATAACATTAATAACATGGATAATCTCAATTGAATCACAATTATGTTCTACATGAATGTGCATTTTTCAAAGGATGAACAGACAGTCTGCGGGTTAACAAAGAATGAATCCTGCTTCGAATCTCTTTAGTTTTCAATGAGTAAATGATGGGATTCACACAGGGTGTGATGAGGGACGAAAAAGACAAGCACACCGTTCTTACATTTGGGTTTATAATAGTGCCAGAAAATCCAATATTGAAGATAATAAAAATTGGGATGAAGAATATGCCCACTAACACGAGGTGTTCAGTGCAAGTGGCCAGCGCCTTATAACGGCTCTGATTATTTTTCATTCTAAATACAGCAATTAATATACCAATGTAGGTCAAGGAAATGAAAATCATTGGTGCAAACGAGAAGAGTATAGTTAAAACAGTGGCAAAATTCCATTGGTGCGTCGTATCGCTGCAAGCGAGTCTTAAAACAGGAGTATAATCGCAAAAATAGCTGTTGACCTTAAGAGAGCCACAAAATGAGAGGGTTGGGATGGATGAAGTGCCGTAGACTACTGTAGTAAGACCAAAGAACCAAACTGCACCAATTATGTAAGCCATTCTGGTGTTTGTGTTTATAGATTCCTGTCTTAAAGGCAAGCAGATCGCAATGAATCTGTCATAAGAGAGAATACATATGGAAAATGACTCGAGGGATAAAAAACTATAGTAAGTGTACATTTGCACAAGGCACAGTTTGAATGGCACAAAATTGTCAAGTACAAGATAAGTCTTTATCATGCCAGGCACAAGAGAAGTGCTGAGAACAAGATCAACCAAAGCCAGATTACCAACAGCCATGAACTTTGGGACATGCAGTCGGTGGTCATAGAAAATGATGATGATCAGAAAGACATTGCATTTGACTGTGATCACGTAGAGCACAGTGAGAAACATGACATAGATGTTACTGTAAGGCACTGAACTCAAGGCAACAATGTAAAATCCTGCAGGCTGAATGATGGAGTTGTTGGGGGCCGAATTGCTGGCATTCTGCATGGCCGTCCTTCCTTTAGCTTGAATGTGGCGTGCTTTGCTTTCAGTGGATGAGAAACCAGGCAGACTCCTGTGAGAAACAGTCACAAACAGCCTGTGCTTTACAATTCACCTTTAACATCTATGTTATTTGATGACGTAAGCCTTTATCAAATTCAGCAACAAGAATGAAAATATAAACATAACATGTTACAATGATTGTCTTACATGCAACAATGTTGTGCTGGTTTGTAGATAGTGCAGACCGCACTGATGTCTTCCCTGCAGTTTTTGCCGCAGCTTCACAGTTCTGGATCACTGTGAATCCTGAATGTTAACTTGGTAATCTTTTATGGGCAATATATTGTCCAATTTGTCCTCCAGGGGTGTCATTAAACAGGAGAGATTCTCAGGTATCTAAATAGCCTTGAGAGAAAAGACATTCATTAGTGGTTTTTGCTTCACTAATGTGAGATTATGGTATAACTAATTGATGTGTCACCAATTAGTCTGTTTTTGTGTTTATTTTTTGCAACAACAATGCAAATTTCTCATGTGGGATAATGCAAAGATGGCATTATAGAAAAGTGTGAAAATTATAACAAAACGTTACATTTAAAGGGAAAAGCTGCAAAAAAATTTTTTTCTAAAGTAACTTTTTGATTTCATTTATACTATGGAATGAATAAACAAATAAATAAACCTTTCCAATAAGTTTTTTTTAATCTTTCTGTTCATTAAAGAAACCTGAGAAAAACTTGATCATGGTTTCCACAAAAATACTGAGCACCAAATCAGCATATTAGAGGGATTTCTGAAGGATCACGTGACACTAAAGACATGAGTAATGATGCTGAAAATTCATTTTTGCCATCACAGGAATACATTTAATTTTAAAATATATTAAAATAGAAAACAGTTCTGTCATGAAAACGTACTCGGTTACTAACGTAACCTCTGTTCTCTCTAGAGAGGGAACGAGTACTGCGTAATATCTTACGCTACGGGGAAAACCTCTTTTCCACGAGATATTGAAGCCAAAAATTATCCTTAATTTTTAATCAATGCAAAACGCTTTGCGGCAGCATGCAGACATAGGCGAGGCAGCTCGCGCGCCTATTGGCTGCCCTGCGGCAAAAGCAGTAGCCTATCGAGAGCGGCTCTGCGTGACGTCATGACCAATGGGGGCACTTCGCGCCCACTTCGTCACGTCCCGCCATAAAGGGCGTGGTCTCGCCCTATAAAAGCAGGTCGATAGCTGATACAAACTGGTTTTCATCGTAGTTTCGACGCGCGCCGTATAACGACGGGGACGTCGAGCGAATTGTAGCGAATAGCCTCTCTTTATAGTGTAAAGAGACATTATATACCCATTCTGATACCCCGGGGAGCTTTGACCACGCATCTGTGTGAATAGCTAGAGGTAGAATGAAATCCGGGCCCTGGCCACGGCATGACAGCGGCTCGAGAGCCTTGGTGTGCTGAGAACTCAACGCTGTGTTTACAGCGTGCGAGGCGGGGGGCGTGCTGATCACAGCGGGCAGCCTGGCCGCGCTCAGCTTCTCTATGACTGGTAGTCCAGAGAAAGCGAGCAGGGCGAACCCCTTGGGATTCAGCGTGTCTGTAAGAGAATGTGGGCGCGGGATGGCGGGCACATTTACTGCACTGAGAACACTGTCGGCTCGCGCCGATTGAATGTGTGTTAGTTTCGTTTTTACAGAAACCAAGGGACACGCATCGTGTAGTGTAAGCGGGCACTGTGATATGGGCGCATTCACATACTTTGTTTGCACAATCGACATGAGTCGATTTTATTTGTGCTAGCCAGTGATGGAGTACTCGAGTCCTGGACTCGAGTCCTTATTCTCTGGACTCGAGTCCGACTCGAGACTCCATTCTCTAGACTCGTGACTCGACTCGGACTCGCGGACTGATGACTATACTTGGACTCGGACTCGAGAATATATAAAATCGGACTTGAGCATTCATCAAATGAATGACATTGTTTCTGACTAAATAGGTTATAAAAAATTGATATAAAATGTTACACTTTTCCTGTTTCGGGGTCCAAGACCGGCCGTGATCTATTTTTTCCCTCACAGACACTGCCGCTCGCTCTCCTTGCTTGACAACACACTCACTGACGTCACTCACTTTACGCCGCATTCTCGTGAGAGAGTTAACGTAACACTCATTTAACACTGGATAAGTTCCTCAACATATAATCAGCAATTTCGATTTTGACACGCTTTGCAGCAGCTGAGCTGACCACTAAGGAGCGAATGTACAGTGACGTGACATTTAAAGGTACCAGATTTAAACTGTGCTTTCGTGCAATGGCTGGCGCTGAGCCAAAATCGGACGCGCTCAGCGCTTAATTCCGCTTATCATACAATAACACAATGTTTATTTTAGCTAACAAACTAGACTATGTCACACATCGCAACCACTCTTTTCCTGCGGAGTTACAACTGCTTATAGCACTGCATTTTCTGGGGTTTTTTGCCACAGTTACATTGGGATTTAGTTTACTTTTCAAAATTTCAAAATTGTTTTTCTTTTACCATATTCGTCAAGAAGAATGCATTTCTCCTCCTCTGTCCAATTAGGCTTTCTTTTTTGTTTTCTTTATCCATTCCAATTGACTGATCATCCAAAAAAGAATTTAAACAATTAAATAAATAATCGTGCCACAGCTAGTTGACAATGATTTGAACTAAGGTCAAAGGCAATTCTAGTGATATCATACACATTTCTAGCTGCAAGAAAGAGTGCCTGAAAAATGTTGCTTGATTTGGCTAAAGTGTATATAATTTCGACTCGGACTCGAACACGGGACTCGAGACTCGACTCGGACTTGAACTCAGGTAATGATGACTCGACTCGGACTCTTCTTTGGTGACTCGGACTTGGACTCGGACTCGAACACTGGGACTCGAGACTCGACTCGGACTCGACAGTTGGTGACTCGACTACAACACTGGTGCTAGCCCTGCACCGTGGCGGGCTGTGTCTGGGTGTGGGAATGGGCACTGGGACATGGGCATTCTTACAACACTCATAACACCATCGGCCGTGGCCGGAACACCAGAAAATGCACTCTTTATTGGATTTATCTGGGTAGCCGTAAAAACGGCTTTTGTGTGCAGGCAAGCGGGCTCTGGAGCTGGCTTGTTCACTGCAAAATACACTGGAACAGTCACATTGCTTGGAACTGAACGAGCGAGAAGTTTTGGTGGAAAACCGGCCGCAGCGGGATTTGAACACCGTCGCTTTCCTAGAGAGGCTAGGAAGGCTTTGAGACCTCGGTCTTGATCTCAATCCTCGGCCGGGGCCCGCGCTGAGGGGGGCGGCGTCCAGCAGAGCGAGAGTGCGGTCTTTGGTCTCGGGCCTGGCGGCGCTGTGAAGCGGCGGCGGCGGGTGGTGCAGGCTGCGGATGAGAGCTTTGGGTAGACGGTTGTTTCGGGCGGCCCGTAGCGGAGCTCGAGCGCTTCGGCAGGAAGTGCTTCATAGCCTGTGATGTTTTCTGCACCTCGACGAATCTGTCCGCGAAATCTTTGACGGCAGATCCGAAAAGGCCCGCTGGCGAAATGGGCGCGTCGAGGAACACAGAGCGCTCAGCTTCCGTCATCTCGGACAGCGTCAGCCACAAATGTCTCTCAGCCACGGTGAGAGAGGCCATATTCCGCCCAACGGCCTGTGCGGCGGCTTTTGCAGCACGTAGAGCGAGGTCCCCCACGCAGATCGCTCCCGGTCCTTCCTCGTCCAATTTTTGGAGAAGGTCGGCTTGGAAGATCTGCAGGACAGCCATTGTGTGCAGCGCTGAAACTGCTTGCCCGGCAGCGGCGTAAGCGCATCCGTGCATGGCTGACGTCACTCGGCAGGCTTTGGATGGTAGCGCCGTCTGAGCACGCCGTCCAGCGGAGGGCGGGCAAAGATCAAGTCTGTTGCGCAGTGGTGGCGCGGGAGCCTCCCAGTCGAGGCAGATGTTATCCACGGCTTGAGAGAGAGAGCATCAGCTCAGTTTCAATTCCGGCTCGTCTCCCAGAGGGCTGGCGGGTAGCGGGGGGGAGGTCCACAGAGCTCGCCCAATCCTCACTGTCCGATGCCAGGAGAGAACATGCCTCGGTAGGTTCGTCGAGCTCAAAGGCGGACGCGGCGGCAGACGGCGGCCGTTGTCCGTCTGTGAGCGACTCGAGCGATGCCGGCGAAGCTGGCTGGCGAACCGGCGAGCTTTGGCGGGCAGGAGAGAGCTCGGGGGCGCGCTGAGCAAGGCGCTTCTTGCGACGCGGTACCACAGCGGGCAGAAGTGCAGGCTCTGAGAAGGATGCCAGGCGAGTCCTCAGAGTCACCATAGGTAACAGCTTGCAATGATGGCATCCGCTGTCAGCGAGCGCGAGAGCCGCGTGATCTTCACCCAGGCAGGACACGCAGATGACATGGCGGTCCTCGTCGCTGAGTTGGGCTCGGCACGAGCCACAGGAAGGCATCTTGAAAAAGACGCAGCTCTTTTAGAATTTTTTGGAGAAGTGTAAGTTGCAGCGGCGAACAAACACTCTCAGCAGAGTAAAGGATATAGGCGCCGGAAAGCGCAGCAGGTACGGCGGTTGAAGGCGGCGAGGTGAAGGTCAGAGGCTTCAGACTCAAGGGCTCGTCCCGCTGAAAGGCTTGCGTCGACGGCGCGGCTTCTCACTCCAGATCCAGCGATGCGTGAGCTTCGCTTGAAGAGATGAAAGTCAGTTTGTATCAGCTATCGACCTGCTTTTATAGGGCGAGACCACGCCCTTTATGGCGTGACGTGACGAAGTGGGCGCGAAGTTCCCCCATTGGTCATGACGTCACGCAGAGCCGCTCTCGATAGGCTGCTGCTTTTGCCGCAGGGCAGCCAATAGGCGCGCGAGCTGCCTCGCCTATGTCTGCATGCTGCCGCAAAGCGTTTTGCATTGATTCAAAATTAAGGATGATTTTTGTGATTTTTGGCTTCAATATCTCGTGGAAAAGAGGTTTTCCCCGTAGCGTAAGATATTACGCAGTACGAGAGATACTCTCGTAAGAGAACT